GAGACATAGGTTTTAATCCTAATTCTGCTAATAACTTTGTGACCTAAGGCAAGTCAGTTAACATTTGTTTGCCTCGAATTTCTTTCTCATAAAAATGATTTTTTTAGAGCCAAAAGGAACCTTGGAGATTATCTCCTTATTTCATAAGGAGTTGAAAAACCAGATCACCGAAGCTGTGATTTGGAACCTTCCTTATCTGTTCACATAGGTAACTCCGAAGGTAGAATGAGAACACAGAGGTGAAAGTGGTTGAAAATGTGTAAAATGTTGTGGAAATTTAAGGTAACAGAGTGAGGCAATGATAACGGTAATCAGTCTTCAGTGGCACTTGAACAAACATATCATCATTATGCCAGACACTTCATAGTTGTTAATTGATTTAATCCCTACAACAGCACCATAAGTAAGGTATCTGTCTCCAGGTGACAAAAAGGGAAAACAGGCACAATGCCTGGCTCAGAGTCCCATGGCAATCAGGTGACAGAACCAGACGCAAACCCTTCTACAGAATCGTTTCCATTGCTGGGCGGCAAGGACAGCTTAACCTAAATGTTGTTAATTTAGAAGCACATTAATTTGTAAATAAGGTAGGTTCCCAAAGCCTTTTTTCAAAGTGCTCCTACAGACACTTTATTTATGGTATCTTCTGTTGAACAGAAGTGTTTGGTTTTATTTTTAATGTACTGAAATTGCATAGGTCTGTTTGGGCTCTCTACTCCATTGGCCTTTCTAATGTTCCGCTGTCTTCACTGTTACAGCTAACACATGTCTTGCTGTCTCGTAGGGAAAGCCCCGTTCCCATTTCGTCCTTCCAGTTCTTCAGAATTTCCTTGTCTAGCCTCGTCCCTTCACTTTCCATATGAATTTAACCATAACTCTTACAAACAAAACAATCACTGACTCCGAGTCACACAGCAATTAGCAATTATCGCTTCAAAACAAAATGCCCTCAAGTGTATTTACTGGACTTGAGTTAAATTTTATATTTACCTGAGGAAAAGCTGACATCCTTACAGTATTCAGTCATTTCATGCACGAACACAGCATAACTGTATATTTATCTTTTACTCTATTCATTAAAGGTTTCCTTTGTTGGAATAATTCCTAAATATTTTGCAGGTTTTGTTGCTATTAATAATTTTATTAATTTTCTTTTCCAATTACTTGTTTTTGGTTTCTAGGACTAAACCTGTTTGGTCTACTGAGTTTGTTATCTAGCAGTCCTTTTTTTTTTTAAGATTTTTTTTTTTTTTATTTGAGAGAGAGTGCGTGTGCGCATGTGTGCACACGGGCAGGGGGAGGGGCAGAGGGACATGGAGAAGTGAACTCCCTGCTGACCAGGGAGCCCGACATGGGGCTCAATCCCAGGACCCTGAGATCATGACCGGAGCTACCCAGGTGCCCCTATCTAGCAGTCCTTCTAAACTCTGAGTAGTTCTGGTTGTTTCTCTGAATTCCTGTGGATTTCTTATGGGGACTACCTGCTTACTAGCTTTGTTTCTTCCTCTACAATCCTTACACCACTATGCTGACAGCACCTCAAAACAATGTTCACAACAACAGTGTGGACGCTGGACATTCTTAAGTGGTACCTAACTTTACAGGAAATTCTTCTGTTTGCCATATTTTGTTTGCTATCAATATTTGATAGAAACTTCATCAAGCTTGCTAATTTTTTAATGGAGTTATATCACATGTTCTTTCTGCATCTATTAAAATACTCATGTGTTTTTTGTTCATTCATCTGCTAACGTGACAAGTTACATTAACAGGTTTTTAATGTTAAACTAACCTTGTATTTCTGAGATGAGCTTTATTTGATCACGTGTGTTTGATACGCATTTATGCTTTTCAGTACGGGATTGGTTGTAAATATTGTGGTTAGTGTTTTTGCATCTATGTTCGGAAGTGAGAAATGGCCTATAATTTCTCTCGCTTATAGAATCCTTATCTAATTTGAGCATCGAGGTCATCCCAGTCTCATTAATATGTTGGATATTATTACCCTCTTCTTCTGTGTTCTGGAACAACTTATTTAAGGTGGATATTTATCATTCTTCGTCTCTGTTCTGAAGTCCAAAATGATATTGCAGTGACCACTGACAGCGGCTTCTGATGGCACACAAAGTTGTGTTGCTGAAAGTTTATAAACAGAGAACCTTCCATATTTAAAGTAGGCCTACTTCTACCTCTCTCACTGGCCCCTCATAGCTTCCTTTTGCTCACATAGTTTGGTAGGAGGGAGTTTGGAAAAGGCCAAGAAAGATCAAGCACACTCCAGGGGCCAACTATCTTGTTCATACTTTCTCTGATTGGCAGAAATCCAGACCAGCCTCCCAGTGCTCCTCTGTGGGCCAAAACCTAGAGAACTCACACATACTTACAGATTTTTTGTTTGTTTGCCCACTTAACCCTGGCAAGCCAGAAATCATTTCTGAAAGAAACAATAATTAGCATTCTTATTAGCTAACCTAGACATTCTTCACTATTCACTTTGGGGAAAACCAGCTCAGCATTTCTGAATTTGTTTGTCCTTTAATCATAGCAGGGAAGAGCTTTACCTTTGCCTACTTGAAAGAGTCCCTAGAGTGCTGTAAATCTCCAAGTGGATTTAGCCTAAAGCTGTAATTGGAATAGGGAACAAAAAATACGTGCGCAAAGAGTTCAGTCACTACAGTGTTTATGACAGGAAACTACTAGAAGCAATTTGAATGTTCATCAGTAGATTTGTTAATAAATTGATGTGTGTACATAAAACGGAGCACCATATAGCCATTAAAAAAGGACATGGTAGGGGTGCCTGGGTGGCTCAGTTGGTTAAGCATCTGCCTTCGGCTCAGGTCATGATCCCGGAATTCAGGGATCGAGCCCCGTGTTGGGCTCCCCGCTCAGCGGGGAGTCTGCTTCTCCCTCTGCCCTTCAGCCTGCTCACACTCGCTCTCTTGCTCACGCTCTCTCTCAAATAAAATCTTAAAAAAAAAAAAAAAAGAAAGGACACGGTAGACCAGTGTGTCTTGACATGCAAAGATTTCTTATATTAGGTTAAAAAAAACTCCTGCACTATCCAGTGTCACCGTGTGTCTTTCTGTCCATTGGTTGTTTTCTTTCTCTGTCACTTAATCCATGCCAGTATGTTAGCCTATAAAGGTGGAGCTCTCTCCTAGATATTTTTAACTGGTGCCTTCAAAGGATGAAAGTAAGCTAACTTATAAAACTAGTTTGGTGGCTATAAAAAAGCAATAACTAAACATTTAAACTAGTGCCTTCATTTTTCTCTGGGTAAATTTCTAGGTATCAGGGAGAGGCATTCCAAATATTATTCTTTAAGTGTATCCAAAGAGTGGGTATCACTCTTTTTACAAATATTTAAATCTTTCCAAGGATTGTATTTGTGGAAGTTTAGAGACAGAGTCTTTTGAGTCCATTCCTCCTGTTTGTTTGCTTTGCCTTTTCCTCCCCCACCTTCCAGCAGCATCTCACATCCTTCAAAGGGAAACTGTCTCTCTGGGGTGCCCCAAGGGTGGATGCACAGAAGGCCGGAGTGAAATCACACCCTCTTGTGTCCTGGTCTGGGAGTGGTCTTCACACACTGTCTTACCAGTACAGACTTGTTGGTACTGCCCAGAGGGGATTGGCACCTCTGTCCTCCCAGGCCTCAAGCCAGAGCACCTTAACCACCATCAGAAATTGTGAATGAGTGGGTAAAGGTAGAGAGGTGGGAAATACAGTGCTCAAATGAGACAGTATTGAATTTATCTCACTTTTCAAATGCCAGGGCCCAAAACCCCCTTTGACTAGGAAGGCTGGAATAGAAATTCAGAGCTCCCTCCCACCCACACCGCCAAGATGTGGAGATCCGTGAAAGACTGCAGCCTTTCACGAAGAAGGTGCCTTCTTCTAGCCAGTCAAGTCGTATCACCTGAATCCCCTTAAATGCTTCCCTAAGGACAAACAGTTGGCTGGAACTTCTTAAACTGTCTAAAATACAAAACTTCAGTACTTCTCACTTAAAACCTCCTCTGGTAACATTTTCAGCAACCAGTCTGTCCAACCTTTCTGTCTTGCTCTCTGCCTCTGTCCTGCTCTCTGCTTCTGTCTTGCCTGGTGCCTGAATTGTTAATGAATAAGGAAAACTTTTCCATGCTACTTTTATGCATTTACCACGAGTCCCTGATCCTCAATAGAGCCATCATTTCTGTGTACCCTCTCCATAAAGAAAGGCAGTATGCTGGCTAAGAGCATGGGCTCTGGGATTTGATTGCCTACAGGTCAGAGGCCAGTCCCACCATTTACCAGCTATATGACTTTAGGGAAGTTATTTTTGAATTTAATTTTTTTTTCAAAATAACACATGTACCTAATTTTTAAAGTTAAATGAGTCCACGAACTTACAAGAAAATAGTAGTCTCCTGCTCTATCCCATCCCCAATTTCCAGTCCCCCAAAATAACTTTTAACTGTTTTGTTTCGTTATTTAACTTCAAGTTTCTAAATAACAGGTTTAAACTACTTTTTACTGATATTTCCATTTTGGAATTTCCATCTTACTGTGGAAGATGAAGACTTAGCCCCCAAACCCACCCCATCCCCACAGCACCTGCCCAATCATGTGCTCTCCCTCTCTCTCTCATTCACTCTCTTCCTTTCTCCCATTCCTCCCATGGAAGTTTCTTATTCAACCACTTTGCATTATTTACATAATTATTTTCTTCAGTATTATATACTTTTCTCAGCTGAGCCTCATAATATATTGCCATTCTATTCCTTACCTATGCAACTTGTTTTTCCTGGAGTTAATGGTGGTTTCATTTCTTCATTGGGTTAGTTTCCTCTCTTAAGACTCTCCTGTGTCCATGGTGGTCTGAAATTTCGTGACTATACGCTTCCTCATGGGTCTTTTTTCATACATTGTCTTGGACACTGTTTGCCCTTGTAGTCTAAAAGTTTGTCTTTTATTTTTTAAGTTTTCCCCCTCCATTTTCTCTTTTTCTTCTTCTTCCTTTCAATATGGAACGCTTCGTGAATGTGCATGTCATCCTTGTGCAGGGGCCACACTAGTCTTCTCTGTATTGCTCCAATTTTAGTGTATGTGCTACCAAAGCCAGCATTTTTGTTTCCTCTTTGTGAAATTCTTATTAATTGGGTGTTAGTGCTTCTGAATTAATCTGATTTTCATCTTCTTTCCCAATTCCTCTTATATTCTATCTGCACTTCTTTCCAAGAGATTTTCTCAACTTTCATAAAAAAAAAAAATCTTCTATGGGGGCGCCTGGGTGGCTCAGATGGCTGGGCGTCTGCCTTCAGCTCAGGTCATGATCCCGGGGTCCTGGGATCGAGCCCCACGTCGGGCTCCCTGCTCAGCGGGGAGCCTGCTTCTCCCTCTCCCTCTGCCTTTCCCCCTGCTCATGCTCTCTCTCTCTCTCTATCTCTGTGTCTCAAATGAATAAATAAAATATTTTTTTTTTAAATCTATGGAATTAACTTCTGTTAAAGTTCTCATTTCTAAGGGTTCTTTCTTATTTCTCTATATAGATATGGACATGTAGATATATATTCCTGTATATGATCTTGTTTCATATATATGTATACGTGTGTGTGTGTGTGTGTGTGTGTGTGTGTATAATTCTTTTTAACTCTGTGAAGACAGTTTAAGTTTTTGGAAATTTTCTTCTGATTTCTACACTGTTTTTGTTTCCTCTGAGTTTTTTTGTTTTAGACTCATGTTAGAAGCTTCCTTCTGGTTATCCTTGGCTGTTCATTCATATCTAAGACTGAAGCACTAAAAGACTAATTTGAAAGCTACAGGAGGCAAAGGACTATTGAATGCAGGCTTCTCTCTAGTCCAATAAGGAGTGAGCCCAGCATTTTCATTGGCAGATTCCCTGATCCTCAAATGTATCTGTAGTTTTTTCTCTTGGACTAGCCAGTTTTCCTAGAGAGAATCCTCCAGCCTCCTACTTTGGTGGGGCGTGGGAAGGGAGGGTATAAGCCTACATACCAGGGTCTGCAAACTGAAAGGTAAAGGAATCTCACAGACTTGACCTTAGATTCCCCAGTCTTCTAACTCAGTAATTACCCTTCTATTTTCCAGTTTCCAAGATTTTGTCAACTGTTGTTGTCTTTGTCCTTGTGGATCTCTATGTTTTTTTATTCCTTTGCAATCATTTCAGTTGGGTTTAGAGAAAGAGAGCAATAAATGTTTAATTTACTACATTTCTGGGCAGGTTATTTAGCCTCTCGGTAGTTCAGTTTATCCATCTGAGAAATGTGGAGAAATAACAGTCCTTACCTCACAGAACTGGTGTTAAGATGAAGTCAGAAACTTGAGGTGCCTGGGTGGTTCCATTGGTTGAGTGTCCAACTCTTGATTTCGGCTCAG